GTAAGAGCAAGACGAAATGGGGAAGAAAAGGCAGACAAATGAGAGAGGAGAAATAAAAGCAGAGGATCTTGGAAGAGAGTGGTGGGGGTGGTGGTTGGAGGGAGATATGGAGGAGTGAGTTAACAGAGGGGAGGCAAAGAGCATGTGACAGTGCGACCCATGCCTCCCACTGACAAGCTTTATTACAGTCCCACCTGCAGCGAGACAGCAAAAAGCACTTAGCCTCAGCCAAGTCGCCTGACAGTGGAGGACAGTTTGAGAGGAAGGGAATGAGAGAGAGATCGAAGAGGAGAAAGAAAGGAGGGAGAGGTGGAGACGGGGAGGCTGGGTGAGAGGAAGGGATGATTGAAGTCATGGAGTCGCAGATAGGGAGGGAGAGAAAAAGATATATAAAGACAAGAGAAGGAGAGGGTAAAGGAGGGGATGAAAAACATGACAAGAGCATCAGGGATTAATAAAATATTACTCAGCTATTAAGCTAACAGCATTGAAAAAACTGATTTCATCATAAAAGATGTTCCTCTGTATAAAATATCCTTGCTTTCACTTGCACCAAATATGAACTGAACTCAACTTTGGTTTGTTGTGGTGGTGCACTGTATTGTAAGTCTTTTACTTTTGTCCATATTCTGTAAATAAAAAAAGACAGATACACAATACAGCCCACTTCCAGCTGTGAGTGTGAGCGTGCAGGCAGTCAAGCTTAATCCTGCTCGAACACCTGTTTCCTGGTGAAACCGAGGTCAAAGGTCAGTAGTCTGGAGGTCTCTCACTAAGTGGTCATCTTTTTCAGGGCTACTGCTCAAACATGTCTGTAACCTGACCTCACTGCTCTACACCGAGACTTAACCTCACATCGGGTGGCCTCACCAAAGCCTAAATATAACTTCTCCTAAGGCCAATACATATACAACATTCTGTATAATAACAATAACAACACTATAACACACTAATGCATTTTGCAGTCATCATTCAGTGCAACTCATGCAATCTGTGAAAAGGAAATAATTAAGGAGATGAAATGGAGAGAGGTTTATTACTTCCTGAACAGCGACAGCTCGCATCTATTAGCGCTCCAGCCTGCTGATGTATCTGCTGATGAGCTATGGCCAAGTAATGACGTGCTCCGCTGGCTGTGAATCTATAGGTCTCTCCCTAAGTCTACTCTTTCTGGCTCCCAGGCTCTGGATGGAAAACCACAGTTCACTAAATCAAACCCATCCGGAGGGAAGACGAGAGAGTGAAAGAGAGTGAGTGAGGGGGAGAAAGGGGGGTTAACAGACTGTTTCTCAGCCTTTCGGAGAGAGGAATGTGTTGGAAAGCGTACAAATCAACCAGAAGTGACTGCACAATAAGGTCAGTGTGATCAGAGGAGAATCCTGACTCAAATGCTAGACACGCACAAACACACACGCACAGAAACAAACACATTAAGCACACACATGCAAACACAGTGAGTGATTGAGTCGGGGCATAACCCCGTGCCCACCCTGTGAGTGGCTAATAACCACGGCACAGTGCCAAACCCACTGTCTCCTGACTAATTCCCCCCATGCCCGCCAGGACTGGCGCCACACTGCAGAACAGAGCTCTGTTTCTCAAAAATCCTGTGATCATTTCATTACTGAATTACTCAAATAGATGGATGAAAAAACAGCCACACAGGCCATCCAGCTCGCTCGCCCCCTGAAGAAAAGACATAATGGAGCAGACAATGGGAACACTGTGAATTAATATTTGTTTGTTGAGACTGCCTCCCTGCACTTAACACACACACAAACACACACACACACACACACACCTCAACGCCCACTCTGCTGGCTGGAAAAAGAGGGCAGTGAGGTGGCGCTCTGCCAAGCGTGGCGCTGCCAAGAGACTTGGTATACCCTGGTCTCCAGTGGCATTTTAATCACACATACACACTCACACACACACACACACACACACACACACACACACACACACACACACACACACACACACTTCCATCTGCTGTGCTTCATGGGAGCGGTGGCAAGCTTGTCACTGTCATTCGAAGTTAGCCCACCCTTCTGCCATCCCTACTGAGGGGGACAAAAGAAAAGAAGAAAAGAGGAGGAGGGGAGTAGGGGGGACAAACAGTGGTATTCCTCTCCATGCCTTCTCTGTCACCCTCTGATTTCTCTCTCCAAACACATCCCCTGTCGTCTCTCCATTCAGCGTCCTTGTCCTCCTCTCACAATCCTCCCCATTCCTGCCTTCCCCACCTCCCAGCGCACTGTTCCCGTCATCCCTCAGCTCTATTCTTTATGTGCACTCTCATCCTTCCACCTGCTGCTCTGTTCTCTGGGCAAGAGATACACGGATGGGCAGCTGTAATCACCCTCCCATGGACAGATTGTTCTTTATTTGTGTGTGTCTGTGTGCATGTGTGCACTGTGCAGTGTGTTCTTGTAGCATGGCCGTTTGTGGATTGAACCTGACTGCTGCGTTCTCCATGCAAGATTCTTAATGTGAAACGTTAACCACAGCGGCTGGAAAGACAGCTCAGACATCGATCCTCCTCCCAAGCAAATGTGGGTTGCCAGATACTGTGAATTACCCCCCTCTGTGCCCCAACCAGCACCCACATCCCATCTTCAGTGATGCTCCATGCTCCCATGATGGGTAATTGTAATTGTATTGAAATGGCCAGCAGCCAAGCGCACAAGACTGCCAAGTCTGCCAAGTCCAGCTGCGCCATTGCAATCAAAACACACTCACAGCTTATCTCATGACAATCACATCATCAGCATGTGTAATTCCAAGACACATATGTACACACAAGCATAGAAATACATATCTGTAAATATATTTGTGTATGAAGACAGTGATGAAATAGAAGAGGGGAACAGAACAAATGTAGAGAAAATGTTAAATTCACATAAGAGTAATAGATGCTTTAAACAGTGCAGGCAAATGAAGAGCATAATGATACAGATTTCCTCACCATGTATTTTGCGCTTAATATTAGTCCAGTGTCTCCCTCCCTCCATTAGATTATCTGTGCAGACACTACAGCAGGGCGGTTTACCTCGAGCGTTCACCACTAATAGTGATATATTGAGTGTGTGGTTGTTTTGAGCCTGAGCAACTGCTGATGTATGTGAAGCGTTCAAAAAACGTGTTCACGGGTCCCCGGGCCTGAAGAACATTGTGGTCGGCCCAGATGTCACATCCTCCCCACTCCAAGCCTGTTTCCTGTCTGATAGCGGCTCTTGATGGACCACAATATATAGGGACATTTGAAATGAGAAAATGGGGACCCTCTTGTCTGAAACATTGTTGAAACATTTCTGGTCTCATTATTTCATTATAGATCTCCTAAACTCTCTCTCACATACTGACTTACAGTACCCACATCCAACATCTTTAATGCCACACTGCCCCTTCTTTCTCTGTATACAACTGGTCAAAGCAAACATTTGAATTAGAGCTGTGACCATTAATCCATTAAATATTCACATTCACACTATTAAAACACAGCAGATATCAAAAAGCACCACTGTGTAACATTAACTGTCTAAAATCATCAGCTTTTCCCTTTAACCTAGCTGCTGCATAGTGGCCAGTTTAATCATTGAAACCCAACAGTCTTAAGATTGTGCACCTCTCTCCTCTATTCTGTGTGAACACCGCAAGCGTGTCTTGTGTCACGTTTCCAGCATGAGCGAAGGAAATGGGCCGTGTCATGTCAGTGTGAGCAGCAGCGTACCACGCATGATGGAGAGCGCTTAAATAACTCATGAAAACCCTGTTCTCAACCCACACTAGACCACAGGGAGGAACGTTCAGTCTTCTGCCTGTACGTGTGTGTGTCTGTGGATGTGCGGTGGTGGCCCACTTTGTCATGACTGTTTAACCAAGTGTCATCAAGTGTGTTGTGGTTGAGCTAGTGTGCCTGTGTGTGTGTGGGTTCAGATGGAAGGAGAGGTTGAGATGAGTTTCTGTAAACGACATGGGGGCCCTCAAGGCTAAACAGAAATAGCCTTAGAGAAAAGAGAGAAAGTGGCCTGCGCAGGAGGGAGACCAGTGAGCAAGAGAGAAAGGTAGAGAAGAAGGGGAGAAATAAAAAACAAAAAATGACGATGGAGAGTTAAGAAAAATTAGATTTACAAAATTCCTGTGTTTATAAGGATAAACATTTGCGTAAAAAAGGAGAAAAAGAGAGGGAATAGATACCCAGTGAAAAGGCAGTCCAGCTACACTGATAAGAGGAGACAGCAACACTTTCCACATAAACGCACTGAGCTCCAAAACCCACTGTAGTGATGGCCTCCCTCGGGGCATGCTCACACACATACACACGCACATGTCACTTTTTTTTTGTGTCCGTGCCTGCTTCATCATGACATCTTCCAGCTAATCTCTAAGTCTCACTTTCTCACCACCGTCCTCTCCTTCACCAGCATCCCAACAACTTGCTTATTCATCTATCTGGCTGAACACTATACTGTGGATGAAAGAGACCACGAAACCCATAATCCGTTGCTAAGACTAACAAGAGGAGTCTCTAGAAAACTGAGCAAAAAAAAAAAGAGTTAGATATGGTGTGCATACATATGCAGCGACAAATAACAGCGAAGGGATGTTTGAGAGTCTTTGTGTGTATGTTTTGTGGGCAGGGTGGGTTTGCTGGTTTGCATTGTTGATAAAGCAGTTGCTATTAAACAATGCATTCAAAGAAGGGTTAGGGTTAGGAGGGGTCAGGTCCCCTGCACATTTGCAAAACAAACTGCAGGGAAATGATGATTATCTCCTCTGGTCTCACACAGCAACATGTGTGGGTTCTACTCTTGTAATGCCAAAAGATAGACGAACGAAGAGTTAATCTGGTAGGGGTGAGGGGGCGATAGCTACTGTAGGTATATATAGATAAAATACAATGGTGGAGGTGCGTGGTTGAAGAGTTACAACAGGATGAGCTGCTAGAAGACATGACAGAACAAGCCTGAAAAGAAGAACTCAAAAGATTGTTTTTGTCACTTCGATTTGAGCGTTAGTGCCGCCTCAGACCTCATCTCATTCACTCCAGGGGTCTTACTACTTCCTGTGTTGGCACACAGCAGGGTTAGGAGGACACCTCGCACAAGAAAAAGGAAGTAGAGTTAAGAAGTCTACTAAGTGAAGAGATACACAGAGCATGGCTTATTCTTAGTGGTTGAATGATGAAGGCTAATCCATCGCATTTACTACTGTACAGTGGTGTGAAAAAGTGCCCTTCCTCATTTCCTGTTCCTTTGCATGTTTGTCACACTTAAAGTGTTTTCGGAACATCAAACCAATTTTAAAACAATAGTCAAGGACAACACAAGTAAACACAAATGCAATTTGTAAAATGAAGGTGTTTATAATTAAAGGTGAAAAAAATCCAAACCATCTTGGCCCTGTGTGAAAAAGTGATTGCCCCCTTGTTAAAACATACTAATAACTGTGGTTTCTCCACACCCTAGTTTTAACCAATATTTCTCTAGCCCACCACTCCAGGCCTGATTATTGCCACACACTGTTCACAAATCAACGGCTCACATTAAACTAACGCGAAGGCCTGCTCTGACACCAGTAAAGGTCCCACCCAGAAGATCCTTAAAAGCCTACACACTCATGTCCGAGAATCCAAAAGCAAAAATTCAAGGAACAATTGATGAAAACAAATCAATTGAGCACTCTATCAGTCTTGGAAAGGGTTACTCAAAGCCCATTTCCATCAAGCCTTTTGCAATCCCAAGCGAACCAAACAGTGAGGAGCCATTATCCAATCAAAAAATGGCGATAGACAACTGGAACCAGTGGCTGAACCCTTCCCAGGAAGTGGCCGGCCGCCCAAAAATTACCCCAAGAGCGCAGCGACGACTCATCCAATGAAGTCAACAAAAAGACCCCACCCACACAAACCGTCCAAAAAAAGAAAACTGCAAGGCCCTCCACTGTGCCTCAGTTAAGGTCCAGCGTTCATGCCCTCCACACCAATCCAGGAAAAAGACTGGGCAAAAATGCCTGCATGGCCAAGAGTTTCCAAGGAGAAAAACCACCTGCTGAGCAAAAAAAAAAGCAACATCAACAGCTCGTCTCAATTTTCTCCACCAACACATCTTTGATGATCCCCAACAAGACTTTTGGGACAACCATTCTGTGGACCGATGAAGAACACAAAAGTGGAAACTCTTTGGAAGGTGGTGTGTCCAAAGTATATCTGGCGTAGAAGGAACACTGCGATTTCATCAAAAAGAACATTATATACCAACCAGTAAAATATGGTGGGGTCAGTTGATGGTCTGGGGCTGTTTTCGCTGCTTCAAGGACCTGGAAGACTTGCCGTGATAAAATAGGAACTATGATTCTGCTGTCTACCAAGAGATCCTGAAGGAGAATGCGACATCTGTTCGTGTACTCAAGGCCTTGAAACG